AATAACATTTGGATGTGCTACTTCAATAACTAAATCTGGTGAACGTTGTAAACCTTCTTCAACAGTTGATACAATTAAATTTTGATTAAATGGTTTATCATATGTTGAAAAAATATCTTTTGATCGATTCCATATAAAAATTAAATCAAAATCATATGTTAATTTATGACGTTCACTTTCAATATATTGATAAATAAATTGTCCGAGATGACCAAAACCAAGTAAACCAATACGTAACGGTTGTGTTTTAGTATTGCACTGCATTAATCAATAACAATGATGAACTAATGAAGAAAAAAAAAACAAAATATTCTATTTGACACGATTCACTAAACAAGAATAAATATGAAGAAAAAAGAAGATAGTGAAATACAAAAAATTAATAATTATGATTCTTTGCATAAAATAATTGGCTTCTATTGATTAAGCAATAGGAAAATAGAATGATTTGTTTTAACTAATAATGTAATAGATGTTTCTCAACACCCTCTATTGATGGCCAACATTTCATTGGTTAATGTCTTCTTGGGTTAAATCGTATAACAGCTCATTTTCAGTTATTGCACACTGAAATTTGTTAGTCTTCCTTATTAACTATTGTTTGTAAAATAAATGTGTTAAGTTCCAATTATCCAAAACAAAAAATTAAAAAAATAAAACAAAAATGTAAGTTTTTGATATAAAAAAGAAAATTTTGTTTTTATGATTTCTGTTAATTTATAGGCCTCCACCTCGTTTCGCTGGCCATCATCCTCATTATTCTCAACATCATCATACAACTTCGAGTGGTCAAACATCTAATTCACTTAATTCATCTATTGTACCTGTTCAACCTGGTAAAATTGATAAAATTATATTAATTTATATTGAAAAAAATTTGAATCGTTTTTTCTTTTGAAAAAAAAACAAGGTGAAATCGGTTTTGATGGAAAAATGTTACGTAAAGCAATGGCTCGTAAAACAGTCGATTATAATCCATCAATTATACGTCATCTTGAAGTGAGAACTATTATTAATTATTCTAGAATTAGAATTATGTTTTAGAATTCGATTTGGCAACGAAATTTAACTGATGGACGTTCATTACAACCTGATGTTCTTTATATTCCACATGTAAAATGATTATTAATTATATATTTGAATTGAAAATATGTATTTTTATTTTTGGTTTTTCTTACAGCTTGTTCCACCTCATGCTCTTCTATCAAATCCAGTAAATTGTGTAATGACAAAATTTATTCGACCAGCAACAAATAAAGTTCGATGTCCAATTTTTTGTGTTTGTGTAAGTCATATATATTTCGATATTTGTTTTTTTTTTATACTTGAAAAAATTTTAGTGGACACCCGATGGTCGTCGTTTGATAACAGGTGCATCTAGTGGAGAATTTACATTGTGGAATGGATTAACATTTAATTTTGAAACTATCTTACAAGTAGATATTATAATAAAAAATTTTATTGATTTTTTTTGTTTTTATTTTTAATTAAGGCACATGATTCAGCTGTACGTGCAATGATTTGGTCGAATAATGAACAATGGATGTTAACTGGTGATCATAATGGTTTTGTTAAATATTGGCAATCAAATATGAATAATGTTAAAGTATATCAAGCACATAATGATCCAGTTAGAGGGTTAACGTAAGTTATATTTGTAAAACAAAAAAACGATTAACAGAATAGTTTGAGGAATATATTA